ACAGAGAATCTTATGCCTAACGCTGTCTCCTTCTTGGGCTAGTATGGAGCCAGATGAGTCTCACCTAGATCACCTAGATTTGCCTTTTATGAACGGCAAATATGACAGAAAGTTTTTATGTCTGCTTAGTCTCTCTTTAGTTTAGTCCTTCCTGCTCAGGTCTGTTCTGCTTAAAGTACGTTGGGAAGGGAAACTTGTTCCCAGCTCACGCATGGTGGGCCTCAGCTGTGAGATGCTGTTAACTGAAGATTTTCTGATAGCCAAGATATTAGACAAATTCATCACAAGTGAAAACCTTCTTGCTATGCAGCTTGCACACAGAACAAGTAAAAGCCATGGCTGAGATGGCGGTCAGGACTCCAGCAGAGTGCCATGTGTGTTTATTCACAGGTACGATTTGTCAGTGTCTTTTATTGTAGTGGACAGTGTGCTGGTATTGGAAAGAATCATTCAGTTTGCTTCTCTTGGCAAATTAGATAAACAGTTTTTATATAATGCAATATATGAGCCATATGTATGTATGCTGTTTTGGTTTCCACATAATGTCAAAAGCGATCTTCCTCAATGTATACAAGGATTTATTACTTACGTGCTTAATAAGCAGGCAAACAATAGTTTTACCTTGAAAAGCAGATTATATTTACTAAGAGTTTAAATTGTCCCCTGAGAAATAATCAGAAACACAGGAGCATTTCTGTTGATTCCTTTTGAGGAAATGTTTTGAATGCTAGTGTGTAAAGCCATGGAGGAGGGGTATATTTCTCAATAATATTTCCCTTGGGATTGTTTTGTCTGAAGAAAAAAGCTTAAGCTGGTACTTCACATTTTTCTAGACAATGTTCAGAAATAGCTGCATAAAAGCTCATTTCATTTCTATATGGAAATAGATCTCAAATAAGTGGTTAAAATGAGAGAAAGATAAAATCTTCTTTTGTAATTTAGACATCTGAGCAGCAATTTTTGCTCTCCTCAGTGTAATGTCCTGGTACTTAATCATCAAGAATAAATTACTGTCCTTCAACTATACTGATTTTCCCTCTTTAGTTTTTGCTTTTTGTTTTGTGTCACAAGTGTGAAAAATGTATAAGAACAGCATTCCAGTTGGTGCTCAAAATGCTAATATATGTAGTCTGTGATTTGGGCAATTAATTTCATAGTTCTAGGTCACCAGGTGATTTTGTAATTCTTAGTTCTATATCACCTGTATGTAATTAAGTGCTTTGCTGACTTTCTTTCTCAAGTATATCACCTTCAAGAGTGAGTGACACCTGTATTATTTTATCAATATTATAGTAGAGGAAGAAAGTCATTGCAGAGAGAAAGTACTTCTGAAAAATCTTACATTTGGACAGTTCCTTAAAGGTTCTTCAAAATTGAACCAAGAATTTTACTTTACCACAGTAATCTCTTAAGGGTTTATAATGTGAACATGGAACTGAGGTGATGATCTTTATGAGGTGTAGCAGTTCTGGAAGATGGGGACTGCTCCATTTTAGATCAAATAAAGCTGCTTCTGTCTCTGTCAACATGTGCCTGGCTTATCTTCAAAATACTTTAGCCACTTTTATTTATTTTACCTAAACTAAGATTTGACCTGGATTTCAGACATTACTATACTACAGTGACTGATAGTCATGAAAGAGTTTGGCTCGCTGAAACAAGCCAAATGAAAACTAAGAAGAGATGTGATTTTCTCTGTTTAAAACACTGAAATTGTAAATAGAAGGGAAGGGAAGGGAAGGGAAGGGAAGGGAAGGGACTAAAAAAATAGTAGAAACAACAGCAAATGTACCTGTGCTGTAAATAAAACTACAGATTACTTCAGAAACAAATTCTGAAAAAAAGAAGCATAAACTTCTTTCAAGGTAAAGCATGATTAGTTTTTGAAATTAATCATGTTTCATCAAACAGTTATTTAGTAGAAAGATAGACCCCATGACCAACAGTGCTTTCTTCTCCAGTATGTGATACTATTTAATAGATAGGTTATGATAGCTTTAATATGTATAAACTTTATTTTTCAGGCTTGGAAATAACAAAAAAAGTTTCTTACATGAAATGTTGTTGTTTGAAGTAGATTTCTTAACTCTGATGTGCCAGTTATATTCCTGTTTACTAGGAAGTGTATATGATAAATATCAGACTTCAAACTATATTTAAATATTAAACTATGGTTATGTTGAACTTTAACTGAATTTATAGAAAATATTAGAACATAATGACATTTTTCTGATTATTTCCTGTTGATATCAGTGAATTTTAATAAAATAATCTTTTTTAAATTATATTGCTGACACCAATGCAAATGCTTTAATTTCAAGCTCTGTCCTTAACTATGACATATGTAATAGATAAAAATCCAGTGGGACATCACTATTAGACACACTTTTTAAAAAATCTTAAAGCTATATAGAAAGAAGTGAGGAAAAAATTGAGGAATGGAAATAGAGGATGAAGTCAATTCACAGGCTAATGCTAGTTAAGGAAATCAAGAAAAAAATAGGGATAAAATCTTGTGCAGATATATAATATTGTTCCAGCCTTAAGTTAGTGATGAATAAAATCTTTTAAATGTTCAGTGGTCTTCCACTATTCTTCAGGTAAATTTGTTTCTTTTTAGAGCAAAATTTGAAACTGACTGAGAGAAAATAAGTAGGTGTTTGGGTTTTTTCCCCTTTTCCTTAGCAGAGTTTATTAAATATATAACAATACCTTCTAGTGTCCTAAAATAGAAAGTAGTTAATGATGTGAGCTTTTCCACCATGGGCCACAAATGCTAATTTAAAAATACTTTGTCCCAAACTTGGAATTGATGCCTCTTTCAATAAACTTAATCTTGAAGTTCCACATGCAGATATGTTATCTGCAATTATCTACTTTGACCCACAAGATCCATCCCTGAATACACCTTTAAAAGTAGCTTTTACCTTATATTTCCTTCTAGCTGACATCTTATTTAAAATCTGTCTCCTCATGGTTGTTCTCTTTCTGCAACTTGTGTTACTCTTTGGTTAGCTGGCCAGAATGCCAAATTCTTGTGAGCACAAGAAGAATTCCTCCCTTCATGCAGCTACACAAAAGGCAGGATAGGAAACAGGGTGTCTCACATCAACCCCTTTCTGAATCCAAGGTCTTGAGGAAGATCTCTATCTAAAAGCAGGACTAACCAAGAAAAGAGAAATAATTGATAAGTGTTAAGAGGCCTTCAGGACCAGAGACTTAAATGTAAATAATGCTATACTGAAAATTCATCCTTAGATAAAATGTTTTAAGGTGGAGGAACCTTCCAGAATTTTTCAGATTGTAAACACCTGTTAAATAATTTTGATGTCTTTTACAGATAAAGTTGAATAACACATCTACTATATATCCTTATTCATTCAGCTGGGTCCTGTCTCTCTGTGCTCCTCTTAATCCACAAAAAAAGAAGTTGTTTTGTCTTGACATTTTATCAGGGGCTGGAGAGAAAAAGAGAGAGTCCGTTGGTTGAATGCTTGGCTATGTTTTTAAATTGTGTTAAACACATCAAAAATATCATAAATATCGAATTACTTGCTTTAAATTTTTTTGCTTTTTTCTTTTCTTTCTGTCAAGCAATAATGAATGTGACAGATCAAAAAGGAGCAAGAAAAAGTGAGACTGGCCTGATAAAAAGTCATAGTTAATTTAGGATTTCTGAGGAAGGGCAGTTTATGTGGTTGTCTGACTTCACAGGGAGATTTTGATTACTTCTTTTTATTTTCAAAAGGGTTGTTCCACCATAGCATGGACATTTCCACATACATATATATCTAAAGGAAATTCTACTGATTTCTAAATCTGATTACTGAGTTATCCAAGTTGACCTGTTTTAGCAGTACAGAAAACTTTTCAGATTTCTTTATTGTTTTCAGAGCAACAACTCTAAAGCTGCAGGCTTGATTTTAACAGCAGTAGAAACTGGGAATTCCTGTGTGCTCTCATGTCAACTTTTCTGTGGCCGTGTTCATGAATCTCATTTTTATAGTGCTCAGTTTTAGCTTAAAAGTTTTTAGAATAATGCTATTTAGTAGCACTAAACCTCATTCTGTAGTAGAATGGATACTCACCTGCCTGTCCACATGCACCATAAGCCCGTGGTACGACCCCATAGCACATGAAGAGGAAAATCCATGTCTGTATATCAAATACAGCTCACACTTTCTACATAGGCAAGAGGCGTGGCAGTTTCTGAATTTCCCGTACATATGCAAATCTGCATGTACTTTACAGTTGATGCAAAAAAACCAAGCGTGAGGTCTGAGCTCTGGCTATAGGAATAATTAATTCAGCCTGTTCCTGACAGCCCTTTTTCCAGCAACAATTTAGGGAGATGCAAACTGTATTAGTAGGTCTCATACTGGCAGCCAACTGCTCTTAGCGATCATCTTTTCCATGGCCTCCTCCAAGATGTAAAGTACATCAGGTAAAGATAAAATATAATAACTTTCAAGGTTTTGCTGAAGCTGAGTATCGTGTTCCTCTTTCATAGAATTGAATGTATGTTACTGGAAGAAAAAAATGGGCTCTAGCAATCTCATTCCAAAGCTCTGGAATTTATTCTTTTCTTAGTTCTGTAAACATTGCAAACCACTTAAGCTTCACTCTTCTGATTTATATTATCACTAAAATTCCTCAACAGAATTATTTTCCAGGAAATCACTGTAGATGATTTATTAATGTACATAATGTGAGTGCTATAGGTATAACATTTGAAAAAAACCCCTTGTATTTCTAAATACTTCAAGACTGATGGTGGGATTCGTTTTTTTAGCAGATTAATTTAATGGCTTTTTTTAAATGAAGCTAACATATTGTTTATACGTAGTATTTCAATAGCATGCACTGTTTATGTGCTGTATCTGTGTACCACTGGAGTAATTTCCATGATGCAGCATTCTTCTGTGATAGCTGAGCTCAGTAGCTGCTGTATCTTTCTTTCTGTGTGATCTTTTTTTTTTTTTTTTTTTTTTTCTCTTTAGGATTTGATACCAGCATTTTGCCAATTTGCAAAGACTCCCTTGGCTGGATGTTTAACAGGCTTGATACAAACTATGACCTGTTGTTGGACCAGTCAGAACTTGGAAGCATTTACCTTGACAAGAATGAGCCATGCACCAGAGCGTTCTTCAATTCTTGTGACACATACAAGGACAGTTTGATATCTAACAATGAATGGTGCTACTGCTTCCAAAGACAGCAAGGTAAAAGATGAGAACAACCTGCATATGTATATGACTGACCTTTTTGTAGTGCTTTATCTTTAACATATTAAGAAGATTACAGTGAACTACAAACTCTTAAATGCTGTACCATGAATTTGTGTTAAGGTTTTTGACGTATTGTGAATACCTAAAATTGAAGTTAAAAAAACAAACAAACAAACAATCCAAGCTACATGGAAAGGCTTGCTAGAAATTCAAGGATTCTAAATAAAGTGCAGAACAGCAGCTAATGCTTTTACAGCAGTATTATTTCTCATGCTAGCTTCCAGTAAGTATGCAGAGGAAAGAGACCAAAATACAGAATAAAATTACTTAAATTATATCTTTCCCAATCTACTTTGCCTACATTATAAAATAAACTTTTTTATTGCTAAGGTAGGGCATCTTAATATTCTATTTTGTAAGCCTACTAAAATAACTGAATGGACATTATGGGTAAAGTTATTTCCGGTCATTTGGAGATAAAACTGATTGATTTTTACTGCCTAGATGAATCTCTTGTTAATATTCTAATGTGATTTGGTTAAACAAATAAACACAACCTGTAAGCATTATTTTCCTGATTATACAAGAATTTTAAATCTATGTGAGACATCACATACATTACACAAACTAGTTGTAATGAATCAAAAAATTCACTCGTTAAATATTGGTTGGAACTGGACAGAATTGCTCCTTCATTTTTCCTACTAAGATGAGGGAGATTTTCAAAGGGAAAAGTAGCAACCAATGTCCAAACCACTCGATCTACTGTCAGTAGAGGAGATAAGACTGATTTGGCAGAAAGTTTGCAAAGTCAGTTCAGCCCTTTTGAAAATTTTAGTATCAGTTTTTAAATCTCATTTGTCCCCTTAAAAAGCTCTTCTGACAAGTTCCCATTAGCACTTAGCATCTATGGCTTGACCCTGATTTCTGTGGAAATAGAGATTTTTATAATGCCACATCTGCCAGTTGTAAATCTGGACAAAAATAACGCTGTGCTTATGTAGATACATACTAAATAGCACATTCCTTTTCTTTGGTAACTTTGTAGTTAAAAAGTTAACATTTAATCTTTCAGAACTCCTTGGTTTTTTATGGTAGAACAATATTTTGGCTTTTGTTTTCATAAGCATGTGTGTACTGCTAACAAAATTAGTAAATTAAAAATAACCTATCCTAGAAATAAAGTAGTTCTTACAGTAAAGAACATAACATGTTCTGTTTGGTTGTCTTCAAAATAATAAAAAAACCCCCACCACCACAATCATTTCGGCTTAATATATAAACATCTGTACTCTTTGGAGTGCAGAATAATTCTTCTCAGTTGTCAGAGAAAGGAGAGCATATAACATGTGGCCTAGTATGGTCCAAGATTCTTCTACCAATTGGCTCTTCTACCAATTTCATATAATGTGTGTACAGCATAACCAGGGCATTAAGAAAGCACTTACATAGTTTAGTTTCAAGTAGTTTTGCATTCTGTAGCCTATAAATACTGTTTGTCTAAAATATTTGCTTAGTGTACCGTTAGAACCCAAGGATGGAAGTGTAAAGAGTGATCTAAACACTACTGAATTATATATATTAATGGTACCCCAAAGGCTAAAAATCTGGCATCCGGCTTTCAGTGACACTGATTCTCCCCATTGCAGAATCCAACATTATCAAGCTTTTATTCCCTTTTTACTGGTTTCCTCACTGTCTTGCCCATGGTGTTGTGATAACATACTGATTTAAAACAGATAGCTTTTGATACCACAGTGTGTTTGAGCACGTAGTAAAAAAGGTGCATCCTCAACATTGTAAATGAGATGAAATCTCAGTTTTGTTAATCCTTGCACATTAAACATGTACTTCATCCCTCCAAATTAAGACTGTCAACAAAATCTATATTGTCCTTTTATTTTGAAGGTGTAAGGAGAAGAAGCAGCTTCTTCTTTTGTCACATCTTATTATTAGCTCTTGCACAACTATCTGAGTCCTTACTCCCTAGTGTATTAGTGACCCACTGAATTCTCTATTCATAATTTGCAGTGTTATGCTAAACCCTGTAATATGTTCATGTTTGGTTATGTTTTACTTGATTGAACAATCTAAATAAGACCTTTTACTAGACCTTTGCTATTAATAGCAAAGAGATGGCTAGGAAGAGAAATTCAGTGGTTTCTTTCTGATGTTTACTAAAATAAATTTATACTAACAGAATGTGTCAAGGCATGTAGACAGCTCTCTGTATTCATTGAGTTTAGCAGGTGCTTTCTGGGCAGATCTGCAGTTTTACAGCACTGCTGTTGATTAATGATGTTCAAAGTGAATACAAAACTTAGTCAACAATATGAGTTATACTAGAATAGAAATTCCATTGTGCTTTTTAAAAATACATAGTATTTGCTGCAGTCATTATCTGAGAAGCACCTTTGCTCTTTGATCTTAGCTTCACAGTTCAAGACTGTCAAGATCAGACAAATACTTGAAACTCTTCTTCATCCTTTCTGCTTGAAGTCTGTCATGATGCATTACAGTATGCTAGACCTGTTACTGCACATTACTCACAACTAGTCAATATAAGCAGCTTCTTACAAATACTTCAGTCAGATCCTTCTTCCTCAGAAAAAGATCTTCCTGTAGTAGCTGTCCTGCCTTGATTAATGCTTAGACTCTTATGTACGGCTCAGTGGTAATTACTGCATTTTTTTCTTGCCCTTAATCTGCTTTAAGTGTAGTTTAGTATTTCTGAGATACATCCAAGACACTATAAATTCATTTCTGCAATACTTAAAAATCTGCACTTTGCCAGTGCTCTTTGCAAGTCTTCCTGTACACTTTGGTTGCTATTGCCCTATAGTTTCAACTACAGTTCATGCAAGTGCTCCAGCGCCCAACTTCAGAACTTACTTTCTTAGTTGTTTGATGCTAGCTTAACACTTTATTGCTTATCTAAATGCTGAGGCACTTGCAGTGTTGGCCTTTTTATAGGTTGAATTTCTTTGTGCCAATACTTCATCATTATTACAGCCTTGTTTTTGTTGTGTCACTGCTTCAGAGTAGAAGAGTACCCAGTTTTGCTGGGAATATTAATGTTTAGCACCTAAGTATTTATTTACCACAGGCCTCTGCTTGGATCTATTAGCACTTCTCTAGATGCCTTTTTCTTGCAGGCTCTTCTGTCTGTCAAGGCTAGAAGACAACAAGTGCCTTTAAAACTAGTCCACCTTACAGAATAATGATAATTATCATTACTTGTATTTGTTACATCATTCTCTTCAGATTGCAGGACTTCAAATATTGTTCTAGATGGTTCTAAAGGAAGGTGTAACATGCCTTAATACATAACTGAGGTCCCCAGAAAGATTTCTTGAAGTGCAGTACTGATGCTTCAAATCTCTAAAGTTCAAGACTCGATTGTCCAAAAACAATTATAATCCTTGACCCCATGCACAGGCGAGGCACAATATAGCAGCCTAATCTGCAGTGGACCATGTGCCAGAAGCTATAGGGGCTCTGCCAAATATTACCTACTTGATAGATGGAAAATCACTGTTTTGTAATTTAATAAGATGGAGAATCTGTGAAAGCTGGAGACTTACTGTGTGGGTAGCAGCTCCTTGAAACATCTGTTAAAAATCCTAGATGTTCTTCATCAAATCTACCAGTTTTATTCTCATTGCTCTGTTAACGTGCCTCTTTTTGGTAAATCAAAGCTTAATCGTCTGGGCCTTGCAGCATCTCTTGACACAATAACATGGGGTACTCTGGTGTACATCAGTACTTCGAGTACTGAAGGACTGTGGATGGCTACTGCTAAGTGATTCATGAATCACTTACAACAATGCAGTGATATTGTCAGAAAGACAATTCCTGACACATCTGTGGAAGTAGGCTAAGGGTGAAGATGATTAGTTCTCTTACTTGTATTCATATTATCAAGACTGATGTCGGATTCATTACTGTTTCAAAGGAAGCCACCACACTGATTTTTTAAAGGAATTTTTTTCTCCTTGGCTCAAGACTCCCAAAAGTTGTCTAGTGACACTGCTTTTTTATTGAAACAAGTTCAGAAATCTAAAAGAAAGCTTTTCCAAACTCAGGAACTAACTGAAAAATAAAGAGGGAAGCATTATGATTGGGGAGAGAGGAAAAAGGATATGCTGTGGTCCAAAAGGAATTGGTTGAACTTCTAGCGTACCATTCTCTTTGACAGTTTTAAGCACCAGAGTGATTTAGTATTGTTAAGAGTTTTTGCTGCTTTTATCCTGAGAAGCAAAGCTTAAGTGTGAATCTTGAAGACCTAGCTTCTGAGAAGAAGAGAGTTTTGGGTAAGTAACTTTCTCATATTGCCTTGCTACCTTTTGGTTAGTCATATTCCTTTTTGTAATTATATCACCAAAGATTTATAGCTGTAAATGAAGGTTTTTTTCTTTAGGCGTAGTCCATAATTTTTACATATCAGTGCTCATGTGTGCAACTCTCTGTTTCCTATTTATGTTTTTTTTCCATAAAACAAAATATGTGTATTTTTCCTATTTGACTAGTTCTTCTCTTTCAGTTTATTTCCCATCTTCTTTGAAAGATAGAATAGAATAGAATGAAACAGAATAGAATCACTTAGGTTGGAAAGGACCTTTAAGATAATCAAGTCCAACCATTAACCGAGCACTGCCAAGTCCATCACAATCCTAGGCCCTTCTAACCTGTAGTAATTGTGTGCATAAGTGGCTAGAATTTTTTAGATTACCAAATAATTGGAAATAACTTTGGTTTAAGAAATAATTGATCCTCAGAATGTTGTACAATTAATTAAGAGCTTTACTCTTTAAATATCAGGAAAGACAGAAACCTTAGTTTTGAAAGGTAATGAACATCTCTGGCATGATAGTGAGCATGATCATCATCAAAGCACATCTTACAACACAAGATGTAAAACTTATATAGCTTCAGCAAATACTAAAAGACTAAATAATTAAGACCCAATACCCATCCATCGATGTCAAGTTACGGTGGTTTTCAAGAGCACACACAGAAAATTGCTTGGTTGTCTGGAAGGACATCTCTTGTAAATTTGTTCTGGCACTAAGGCTCCTGTATTTTAAAAGTAGAGCCTACTTTTAAGGCCTTCAGTCTGAAAAGAATCATAGATTTAGTGTGAAAACCTGACCCACCAGAATCGAGGCCACTCTAAGCATTCATAAGCTTCTTTAAATGTATGGGATATGTAAATAGCATTTAAAATAAAATTTTAAAATATAAAGCCAAGAGAAATTATCAGCCTACTGTCAGTAAGTGGTTATTATTGTCTTCTTGTATTCTATTTACTCTAACAGAGAAGATAATAAAAAAAATCAGAGAAGAGCTCATGAATAATACCAACGACCTATTGGTGTATCTGGGCTATGCCAGCCGAGAGGCTCTGTGTTCACCAGAAATATATTTTTGATCCCCAGTTTGTCTAGGCATCTGTGATCAGAGTTTGACCATTTCAACATAAAAGGCAGCTCTGTATTATAATATATTCTTGCCATTCCTGTTCTCCTTTGTGCTTCTTGTGCTGCTCTCAGCTGGCTAAAGAGTGAGCATTCTTGTTTTCCTTTAGGAGGAATTCAGGAAGGGCTACTTTGGACTATCACCCTTCAAGTGATTTTTGCCTATCCATTGTCCAACACAGTGACTGGGTTCTGGTCTTAGTGTGTGCTTCATCAATAGGCTAGGCCAGTCTGACTCTTCTTGAAACTAGCTCAGAAGATTTTTTTTCTGCTTGCATGGAAAAAAAGTATTCATCATATTTCAGAAGGGAGCCTCAAGTTAATTGTATGGCAAAGATGTATTCTAAATAATCAGAGTGTACTAAAATGGAAAATGCATATAATGTTCATACAATCACATTTTAGTGAGATGTTATCACAATATTGCCAGGGGATGGTATAAGCTAGAGAGACACATGAGTAAACTCAGTAATACTACTGCTGATTCAGATTGAGAAATGCCTTTATGCTAGTAGTCTAATGTAATATGTAAGTTCAGAGATTAGTACTTTGCTGTCTTTCTTTTATTTGTTCAACAATAGCATACATATACACATTCACATCTTATTTCCTTCCCATTCATGGGGCATACTGTGACGTGCTTTTATAGACAGTAGAAAAATAAGTGATTCAGAACTGGAGCAACCTATAACTCTGAAGAATGGAAAACAGGATTTTAATAGGTATTCTGCCTCTTAGAGCCATCTAAAGTTTGGCCGCTCTTTTTGACTTAGTATGCTGAACATGGTGCTTTATACTCATGGGATTCAGTCTTAAATTTTTACAGTAGAATCACAATCTTGCAGACTTCACTGGAGAAAATTATTTTCTAGTGTAGTACATGAAATAGAAAACTTGAACATGACTTCTAACAAGGACAAATGTGAAAGAATTAAAAGAGTCATCCTGTTTCTAGCCAATCCATGAGGAAAGCTTCACAATCACCCTCTCATTTCTGTAGACTCATAAAATAGGGTGTGAAAACCAGGACATAGAGTTACTGTTTTGGTCTAGCATTCTTGATCCTGCAGACTAGTGACTTACTAGTTAACTCACAGCTGGGTTAACTAGGAGTGACCTTCTGCACAAATCCATGGTGGTGCTCTAATTCCTAATTCTGGAGCTGTAGCAAGGTGCCATAATTCTTTTATTTCAGAGCTTAGAACATGACTGCTAATGCAGGATGTGTGTGCTTCTTAAGATCAGTAAGTAGTTAGAGTGACCTTACAACTTACTAAAATGTCAAAATTTAGTCGTATGTTTTTTTTCCTAGATACAGTGTAATCTGTTTAACTTTTTTTTTGTCATTTTAGACCCACCTTGCCAGACAGAACTCAGCAACATTCAGAAGCAGCAAGGAGGAAAGAAGCTCATAGGTGAGCCATAGATCATTCTTCTGAAGGTTTTATTGCTTACATAAATAACCGTAGTGAAGCAGAAACATAAAATCAATATTAGTCCAACAAAGATAGACCGCAGTAAATTCTAGCAACAGAATTTATGGAATTTTTGAAAGCTATTAAACTTAGTTTTATTACCTTATCTAGCAAAAGATATTACATCTGTTTTATTACCCTAATAGAAAGTATGTTTTTTACAGTTATAGAGGGGACAGTCTGAGACACTCCTAAATTAGTATCTCTGCTGATCCTTTGCCTGTAATATTCTTTAAGTAATTGAAATTTTTGTTGTGTATCAGTTTATACTGTGGCAATATTACTGAAATGTAAAATCTTCATTTTACTGTTAGCCACTGTATAAAAACTGCAATAAAGGGCTTGGCCCAAAGTAGTCACAACTGTATTTCTGCTAAGGATGGTTTCTAACAACAACTATACACTTCAAAATGCTTTCATATGAATGCTTTGTTCCTTGCAGACTGTCTAAATGTTATGTTTCTTTCAAAAAGCTTCTGTTCGTTCCAAATGAAAAACAGTGGATTATTCAGCCTTAGGCAAGTCACTGCCTTACAAAATAAGTCCCTGATTGTGTCTCTTGTACCTTTGGCAGGGAACTCTTTTGCCTTAGAGCCTTATTTGCCTATATATTTTGCATATAAATGCAAATTTAGCATTCTTTTTTTTACATTTATTATTGATAAAATTGGTGTGTTACACTGCATTTGTCTTCTGTGGTGAGTTAATTAAATATCAGTAGGTAACTAAATGGATTGTAAAATATTTATTAAATAAAAATAGTTCCTAAGCCTTGTAGCAGATAGTTTGTTAGTCCAGGAAGCCTGGCCCTTATTATTCAAACTTGTTTGTACTCCACAGATTATAGAACATCCCAGTCAGGGTTGACTGCTACATTTGGGCCTTTTCCCCAGAATACAGCGGTATTGACTGAGGCGTTCAGGGAATAAGAAGTATGTATCACAGGGACAATTAAAAATTTAAAGGCAAATTGGTCACTTAATTTCTTGGAAATCAGTCCAAGACTGATATGTGCTATTTTCACTCCCACCTTTGATATGTTCAGTCACTTTATGCTTAACTGAATTTAGTAATAGTAAATCAGTGTAGAGTCTGGAATGAGGAAGCAGCAAAAGTTAGTTACTTTCTGCTTTAGCTGTTAAATTGACGAAGAGGTGGTTTTTAATATTCTTATTCAATATTTATATGTCACAGGGCAGTACATCCCCTTATGTGATGAAGATGGATATTACAAACCAAGTCAGTGCCATGGAAGTGTAGGGCAGTGCTGGTGTGTTGACAGATACGGTAATGAAGTAACAGGATCCAGAACAAACGGTGTGGCAGAATGCGGTGAGTTAAGAACCCTTTGTGGCATTTGGTTTGGAGGTGATATTCCCTTTGATTACCAACCAGATTAGATTTCTTCAGTAAGAAGAAATGCAGGACCCAACTATGTGGATTTTGAAGCAAAAAATAACAAATTATAATATGTTATTGTTACTACTTCATTATTTTTTGCAACTCCTATCACTAGGTCAGCTATTAATAAACCTCATATATGTGCTTGGCATAGTGTATATAAACCTAGGGAAAATTAATTACCTAGAGCAGTATTAGACAAGCCCCAAAATACTTGATGAAATCCCTTTGGGTAATCAGCATGCTAGTGAATTCAATTTGACATTTTTTTTCAGGTTATCTTTGAGAGAATTGCCAAAAGTTCTTAGCTCACTAAATATTCCCTTATTTTTTCCCTTCCCTGCAGCACTGTACAACTTATTCCAAGAATTCCCATGTCACCTTTATTTGATATCCCAGTTATAAAAATTAGCTACAAAATATTTTCCTTTTATTTTATTTTTTTTTAAAAAAGTCTTACATTACTCCTTTGCACTTCTTTTACAACAAACGAGCGTAGCCTGAAATAAAGGGTAAATTTAACACATTATTTGACATACAATCTCAGGCCTATTGTCCATCTAATCCAGGATGCTTTCTAGATAAAAGGACAGTTCTAGATAGTTCCAGGTAATATGTAAGAACTGAACAATAGACAGCGTATATAATAGACAGTGTATATTATCAGTAGTTCTTATTGTCAGCTATAAGTTGTACTTAAATCTCTTTCATTTGTTCCTGGCACTCATTAAAGTTCTACAAATCCATAAAATTCATCTCCTTTTCTTAACATTGAGAAATTCATCCCTACTGAAGTGGTTTTCTTTTGAGAAAAAAGAATTTTAATACTATTTATATTTTATTTCTATGTCACACTGTGTAGTTTCAAAGAAGTAATTGTCCTGAAACTAAATATTCTGGTGTGCCTTTTGTATGCTTAAGTATATTGTACTATAAATACATAGTGTATCTTGCCTGCCTTTTCTATAACTATCATTCCTTTTTAGCTGTTGATTTAGAGACTTCAGGTGATTTTGCCTCTGGTGATTTCCATGAGTGGACAGATGATGAAGGTGACGAAGATGAAATAATGAATGATGAAGATGAAATTGAAGATGATGATGAAGATGAAGGAGATGATGATGTTGATGATGACGATGACCATGATGGATATATTTGATGATATTAGGGGGTCTGTGAATTGTACCTTTCTAAAATTCACAAGATTACATTTCATAAAGTCCCTTTGCTCTCCAAGATCAAAAGGATTCTAACAAACATGTATATTTTGTATGATTATTTCAAACATTGCAGCTGGAGTCATAGACTTTTTGTTTAAATAAGAATAATTATATTATGTGCTTTTGAGTTTTTAAATGCCTTTGCGCTGAAGAAAACACGTTGGAAGTCTAGCCTGGAGAAAGAAATGTTATGTGCTACTGAAAGTATAAATGTGCAAAACAGTATAAAGACAACCTGTCTCTTTAAAACTCCGGTGAAAAGATACTTGCCCTTACTTGGAACTGTGCATGTCGTCACCTTAACTTTAGTTCTGTCACTGTTTTAGGCCCTGCAGGCTTTGCAAATTGTCCATTGAATAAATCAAAAATATATTACAGTAGAAAAACATTGGTGCACAAGTAGCATCTCACTGGCCTTTAATTATCCAAAGGTGTGGGGAAGAATTATCAGGAGGGAAAAATAAAGCAAAGTCCTCCTTTGTGTTTGCATTTGCAGTTATGGGGTTTTTTTTAGGAAATGGCTAGGTTATTGAAAGGATTTTTCAAAAGCAGTAGCATGGATAAGCACGAATTCTGTAGTTCTAAAGTTTTCTTGTCCTTCCTTATTTTTTTTTTCTTTCATGTCCATGTCATATAGGCTTTATCATTATTTACTCAAACATTGCTTCACCCTTTATTGTTTCTCTGTATTTCTCTCTAACCAGATTAGCGTAAAATATTTTACATGGGGAAAAATTTGCTTAAAATTATATTGCCTTTATACATTACTGTATTTCAGAGTATTGGTACTTGCCCCAAGGTAGTTTTTAAAAAATGTATCATGATACTTTTTATTTTCTTAATTCAGGAAATAGTTTTGCATCTTTATCTTATTTCATGTTGGTTTATGTTACTAGTGCAGAAACTTAGAAAACGTATTGTAAAGGTGCCTTGCAAAATAGAAATAGAGAGGTTTTAGCATGCATACCAGTATAGGACATTAGGCAATAGCTAAGCACACCCAATTACCAAATTAATACCAGTATAGGTACTTCTGCTGGAATGAAGAAAATGGGTTATTTTAATTTTTTTCCTATTGTTATGTAATTACCATGTGGACTAGAATATAATTATTGTGTAGAGTAGCAGTTAAGATTTGACTGTAGAGAAAATTACTTTAATCACTGTATTTATGTTAGCATGTTAATTAGTTGTGTAGACATTTTGGGACTCCACCATCTTTGTTCATATCATATCTATTGCTTTCTGCCCACAATAAAAATTGACGTGACCTGTGTAATGTAATACTACAGGTTGTATAATTTCAAAATTAGATCACTGGTTTCCCATTGTTAATTAAAAGGAAAGTCAGTTCCTTATTTTAATTAATTTCTATACATTAAATACTAAATTTAATGTTTATCCTATGTAATATTGAAAAGTATAATGCATTTTCTTTTTTACTGTTTCTGTATAGTTTGCAAAATAAAGACTCTTGTAACCAACCTTTTTCCGGTATAGCCTATCATTTTTACTTTTTGCATAGTTTCAAGTTTTGAAACAGGAAGAATTCATGTTTCACATTCATTTCACCTATTAAAATATGTATTTATTTGTATAAAGCCATTTATTAATGTTTTATTTCCAGCAAAGAATTTTTGACTAAGGCAAAACCCATACGGAGCTTTTCTTTTTCTGTATTTTTTCCTGAATTTTCTATAGCTTTGTTATGTACTTTTATGACATTGTCTTTGTTACATAGTAAAGAAAGAAAGAGATGTTTCTTTTCAAATTCTGTCATAATTTGTGGGGCATAGTTGTATTATTTTCTTAAATAAAAGTAGTTAAGAGTTTACCATTCAAATATAGTGGGATTTTATCAGAGAACAGTTTCTTATGGCTGAAATTAACTGATATATAAATTGATTTTAAATAAAGATGCTAAAGAAAAAATGTTGTCATTATTGGCTGATGTAGCAAGCACTGTTGTGTGGTTTTCTTTCTGATCTGACAAATGATCATTAGATGACAAACTAAAAATGGATTTCATTAAAAAATGTGATATTAGGAGAATTAGAGTGTGGAAAGAGAATTCATGTGTTTAGCCTAATGGGATTACAGTCTGAAGACCATTCTAAAATGAACTGTAATGCAGAAGAGTGTAAAAGAAGTTTGTATTCTTTCTTCCCTGAAAATTCCCCACTGAACTGGAAGAGGAGGGAATATGCATGGATTTTAGTCCCTGAGTATCGAAGCTACCCATCTTTAAGTCAGAAGTAAGTCAAGATAGCTAAACTTGCTAAAGAACAGAGACAATGGAGTTTGAGAGTCATTTTGGAGAATATTTGTGGTCCAAAACTAAAACAGCAACAAACACTTGAATTGTTTCTCATTCATGAGGAAAAACCAGAGAAGAGATTGATAGTATGAGACTTATTTTGAAAACACTCTTCCTTTTTTTAAAAAAATAAGTAAATTTGTCTACGGATTAATATTATGGTGTTGATTTGCTTTCATAATAGCAAATGAACTGGTAACTACTTCACTGCAGCATTAAAGAAATAGATGAAATCAGGAGCAGGTAGAACAAATAAAGGCAGAGGCTTCTAATATAATATCACTAAGTAGCTAAACGATTCAGAAGCTTTTTCCTTCTTTGCCATATCCAAAAATTTGCACAGAGGTATGTTCTCATGAGTACAATCAGACAGAAAGCAGTAGAGAGCCCTTGATTTTAAAACTTCATTATTTTTATAGTGTCACTGACATTTGTTGTTTTTTCTTGAATTGTGCACGTATATATGTACTTATAAATATGCAAAGATACTGATGTAAATTTGGAGATTTTCAGACACAGTGATTTATCCTTGTGCTCTTCTGAGAATGTGTAATTATAATTCTCAGATTCATTGAAAAGTAAGGAATACTCAGTTCAATGAAATAATTATATAATCTTCAAAGGGAATATTTCAGGTCAAACCACATAGATGTGCTTAGTTTAAAAGGAAATGAATAAGTGGCATTGGTTTGCATGTACAAAAATCGGGTTATTGTGCAAGACTGAGGAAGATGGACTATAACCATAGCAGGAAAATTTTTACTTGTTTTGTATGCATGGACGAGGACTGGATTTCTTCTTCTTCTTCTTCTTCTTCTT